GAAAAGCCGAACTACGACAACGGAAGTAGGCGGCAATAGGCAGTGCACACGCACACATACAACCACACTTGCGTGCAAAAAAGCAAACGAAACGGTAGTGAAGTTAATTAATGCGATCTCGTAAGATTTTCGGCAGCATTAGCGCGCCTACGAGTGTGTACCTTGGCTTCAAGCTGCGAGGTGTGAGGATTGCAAAGATTTGCAATTATTTACTTTACACATTACGACGGAGAAATGCGAAAATAATGAACTGCTGCGCAATAGTAAGAGTTTTAATGGCAGCAGCGTATGCTGGTAATAACTGAAATCGATCTGTGGATGCGGCGCTAATGAAATGTTGGTTTCTGCCGCGATTAATAGCCGCACCCGTGAATGAATAGGTGAATAGCGGTGAATGAATGGGGTGTTTACGGTATCTGAATGTATGCATTAGATAATGGAAATGTTTTTTTTTTATTAATCTAACCAACCTATTTCTCGCAAACATATCTTTATACAGTTGAACTAATGAGTCCATTTCGGGCTTGGGAGATTTAAATATCCTCAATGGACGCAAAATATCCCCATCCCTAGAAAATATAGTTGTTTGACGAACTTTTTCAACCCAATTTCCGCCACTGCTCGCCACAAAAGTGCTGGTACGCTGTATAGCTTATGTCTAACGCCTAAAACTATGCTATTAGGTGAAATGAAAAAAGTTTTTTCTTTGCAGCGAAAACTATGGAATTTGGTGAAAAAATTGCAGTCATTCAAAGGCAACCACAAACATTTTTCTTTCCGGCCTTTTGGTAATCTACAAATGCACTGCAGCAAACACCTTCATTTATCTTTATTTGCGTACGAAAAGTTAGTCGCGCGTGGGGTAGAGGCGCGAGTGTTGAGGTGTTATTTATGTTGAAAAGTTTCTTGAGGCGCATGCACATGGAAAATGAACGAAAACCTACTAAATTATCGATAACGTTGGGTATGATGTTATCTATAAAACCGAAAGAGCTTATGCAAAGCTGTGGAGGGTATGAAAGCAAAGTGGTTAATAAATTCACTAATGTCGGCATTAGTTTTGTGGTTGTTGTTCCTTTATGTATGTATATGTAACTCTTCTCTGTTTACTTATTTAATTCTTTACCTTTAAAATTTGCCTTTTTTATTAATAAAACTTAGCATACCTTTTGGCGCAAACATTATTTTTGGTATACAAATAAACCAAACTTTTTTATTTTGCAAAAAATATATTTTCCTTTCATGGAATTATTGAAATTGTGCAACATATCTCATGTTTGTCTTTTTCATCAGCAATTTTCCTTCGATTTTCTTTCTTTCTTCTTCTTTTCAAACATATTTAGAACCCACCAACTTTCTGTTTACAATATTTTCAAAAAAAAAAAAATTATTCAACACATAAAAAAGTTTTGTTTATCATTTTTGTTGTTAAATTTCACGAGCAACTGAAATCAAAGAATCGAAAAGGCAAATGCCAATCCTCCAGGCTAAAGTGAAATTATGGCTATTTTGCATAACTTCGGGTGCCAAAACATTGAGCGCAGTAAAAGTTTCCCGCTCTTATTGCCAGTGTTGAAATTTACGGGCATTAATAACAGCCACAGAGCCTACCAACGGTTTCGCGCCTAAAAGCACGTAATGATAACGGCGCATTACTGTACAGCATTTTTGTTGACTTCAAAAGAATTATTAACTTTGAAATCAATGCGATTTGTAGACGAAAAATTTGTTGTTGAATTGCAAATGCCATTGGTGTAGCTTACGCGGTACGAAATTTTTGCAATATGTGTTTACAGCAGCTAAAAGTATGCAAAACTTTTTGTGTTTTGCTAATCCCAAAAAAGCATACTTTTATGTGGGAGCAGTAATGCCAAGTACAATTATAATAATTTTTCGTGTGTTATGAGAGCTATTAGAAGTAAAAGAACGGATTTCGCGGAATATATGATCAAAAGCAATTTTTGGTTCGAAAATTTTCGAGAAGTACTGTCGTCTCACTCCTCATCGTTTCAACTGTTCTTTAGCCTTTTCCGAAAACTTATGGTTTCATTTGCAGATATATATAAGTAGCTTCAGATACCGTCCTACATTTCCGTTTTACTATTTGCCTAATTGCTGATAATTGCTCTCAGAAAGCATAAGTGCAAGTCGAGCATAAAATGTTCGGATGTCTGTTGTGATTGCAGCTTCTCCACTTCGAACCTTCTTTGTGATTGTTGACCTACATATTTTGCTGTATACAGGCGGATGCCTATCTTAGCTTCAATAAGATAGTGATCCGAATCAAAGTTAGACTTCAAAGCGTACGCACGTCTAAAACACTGGTGACATGTCTTTTGTTTATCACAACACGATCGATCTGGTTGGTGGCTTTTCGATCCGGAGACAGCCAGGTCACTTGATGAATTTTCCTATGAGAATCACTCATCTGAGGCCTTTTTATTTTCATTTGGGGTGTTTTTTACATGACGGGTCTCAGAATCTCGCTATTGTTTTAAGATTGACCCTCGCAGTCGCACCTCTGGTGAAAATACGCTGCAATGGGACTTCCGCGAACCCTTAAACCGAATATTTCCGAGTGTCTCCGCTGAAGCTTCTTCTCTTTTAGCCGTCCATGTGAGCTCCACATGAGTTGGCTCACGATTCTGGGGTAAGCAGCTAGGACGCAAGAGCAGGAATTGGGTATAGCTCTACGACTGTATCTGCTTACCCAGAAGCATTACGATATCCCATAAATAATTAAATAAATAACTACCTATACCCCCTTACAACCCCTTAGTGATACTATATACTTTCTGGCGTTTAAGCTTACCAATCAATGTTTATTAAATACCTATATTATAAATCTAGTGATGGAAGATTTAAGTGAAGTTTGCTAATTTTTATTATTACTGCATACATACAGGCGTGCAACCCTATGCTTTATTTTTCTTGACCTATAAGACTTACAATTTTATTTATTGTTGTATTTTTAATTATATTTACAATTTTTCGTACTTTTAAAAAGTATTATAAGTTATATCTAGTTATTGTTTTTTAATTGGTATGTTCGCCACCCGAAACTCTAATAAAATCTCTTAAAGTCAAACGCTTCCTTTTTCCACAGTTTTTAGTATAATAATACATAATTTATTGATCTTTCTAGTTACAAACAGCTACAGCGAATGTCCTATTGCCAAAAATTAACATTATTATAAATATTCCTACAAGAATAGTGAGCCATCTGTGGGCATACAATCGAAATACTCATCAGGTACGTAACATAGCTGCAGAAGCACAAAAGCACAAAAGCTGAATTTCAAACAGTTTGAAAATCACTGGAACAACAGTTATAAACTTAACGGAAACTTTTCTATTCGGAAGTTTTTGGGAACTTGAACTTAACGGTAAACATTACCCAAAGCTTTCTGACATTTGATAACTTATTATTGTGCTTTTATTCCTTTCTGCTAAAGATTCACAAAATTTTGCACCTAAAATTATGGGGTATCCAAGCTATTATGGTTTTCCTCTACCAAAAGAGAAAATGATATTGTGTCTTTGATTTGAAACCATTTTTAAAACTTAATGGTGCATTATAACGATTTATTTAACAAGAGAGTTACAAAAGTAAAATAAATAAAACAAAAACGGCTAGAGATAACAACGAAATTATTTATTCCTGTGAAATGATGGAACTTTTGTAAGATAACACGTTCATCAAACTTGATTTTCAATAAATCGTTTGTCACATTCGCTGCGTGGCTTGCGGCGCCATCCTATTGGAATCACATCTTTGCTTTGCTATGACGCTATGGACGTCCAGTTCGGGCCAAACATATTTGGTTATCATTGAGCGGTACCGATTTCCATTCACAGTAACGCGGCGGTCTTGATTATTACGAAAGAAGTGCGGCACAATGGTGATGTCGGCCCATAAACCGCACCAATTTGTAATTTTTTCGGCAACATTCTCGACACCACGGGTACTTCTTTGCCTGTAGATTCAAATTTTCTACTCGACGCTCAATTTTTGACCTGTTAGAACAATTATGACCACAGGGTCATAGGGTGTCAAAAGGGTTGGAAAATATGGCGTCGTTTGCTGCCTCTATCAGTCTACTTTTGTAGCTCCATATTGAAAACCCCTATAGTATAACATTAGTAGAATACTTACTGAAATCTTCAAGAAGACATATTTAAAAATACGGCAACAGTTGCAATTACTTTAGAGCATCTAGAAAAAAGTTGGATGGCAGTGATTCTCCTAACTCGGTGCTGCATCATTCGAAATCGAAAAAACCAAAGCTCATTTGTTAGTTAATGACTTTACCCAGGTAACGCTGGGAGGGTTTCGAATTAATAACTTTTAACTTTTTGGAAAAAACTCCATTCAGTCCATATAACAGTCTTCCAACTTTCAAAACGATGTAGTACTTTTGAAACTATAAGCTGTTTGAAAACTTGCGTTCTGTGGAAAATGTTTCAAAGATTCGAAATGCGATGCAAAACGTTCATAAAACAGAAGTCTAGAGTCTAGAGTCGACTGGTAATTCATTAAAAAAATAGTAAGTCATTAGCTACTAGAAGTATGTAAGGTTTCATAAATATTAATAGAATTGGGAAAAACATATGTACATATACGATATTAATATTCTTTATCAGCAATGGTCAAAATATATAAACTTTCCATGATGTATAGAAAACATATAAATATCTCATTTATAAGTCATTATCTGTGATGTATGTCTTTTAATTTTCTTTCTAATATTTGAAAAAAGCTTTAGGTTTCTCTTTTCCATAATATTCGGTTTACTTTTAAGCTATTTTCGACTTATTATAATATCGCCTCTTTTGCTTCAATCATATCTAATTCAACTATTCTTCACTCTTCTCTACTCTCTCATTTTTCTATTTTTCTATATTTAGCTACACTGTGGCAACACCAGGTTGCTTCGCTCACAGATGGTTGCTGTGTTTGCCCAACTGGTCGTCCCCAGCAAACATGTCGTGAATTGCGCGAGAGAATGTTGTGCGAGGCCAAGACAGCGCGTGAAAATATTCTACAGTTGCAGTTGTTGGAAGGAAAAAAGTTTAAGGAAACAAGAAAATATTTGCAAAATTCATGAGTTAAAGCGAATTAAACTTCAATGAAATGAAGGCAATTTTATAATTTCGAAAAGCAGTGTTTAAAAGTTGTGAGAATTAGCAGGAATCTTGTGTTAAATGCGAGATTATGTTATTACGCCAAGGAATCGCATAAAATGTGACCCAATTTGTTGTGTGTGCGTGTGTTGTGAAGGTAAGAGGAAATGATAGTGGAAGTGGAAATTGAAGTGGAAGAAAGTGCAAATCATTATTAAAAACAGGCCAGTGCCTTTGAAAAATGATTGCGAAGAAATAAATATTTATATGCACATTTAATTTGCTCTGCTTGCTTGCAACACAGCACTACCCATTCAAATAAAAAATCAAGAAGCAGATATATTATTATTTGTGGATCCATTAAATGTGCGTGTATATATGTGTTCATGTGTTTTCGCGTTCAGTTGTGTAAAATAAGCGGCAAATACAACATGCAAAACCGCCTAAAAGTGAGCTAAAAATACGTTGTGTATATTATTTTCATGTATGTGTGAGTTTGAATTTGCCAATTTTCATGTGTTACTCCTCATTCTTCACCATTCCCTTTCGATTTTATTTTTATCACATAGCCAAATGTTTGAAAACAATATCCTTACCATTCTGACAGCTGATTGTACGAGCGCAGCAACCATAACAACAACAACAACATTGCGAATGAATATAGAAAACATAAAATACAATTGAGAGAGTAAACGCTACAGCGTGAGTGCAAATCCACAGAGGAGCGCTATCAAAGTAACACGAGCGCACTTGTCGAGTGGGTTGTGCCACTGACAGCCAGCAATAACAGCAACAAACGACAACAAAACAGGGTATATTTTCAATAGCAGCCTAGCCTCTGACGGCTATATTATTTCGCGTCCTTCATTTATTTACGCCAGTGGTAAGTGCAAGTAAAAATGTTTTCTCGTTTCTTCTTCACTTTAGTTTCGCCTATTTATGGGCGGCCGCAAGAAGTGCGCGTCGAAATTTCGTAAATTTCTTTAATCATAAAAATATTTGAGTGTTTAAGTATGTGTGTGGTGGAAATTCTTTTGAAATGGGTACATTGCCGGCAACTGTTCGCTCCTATCCCTTTTTCTCATTGTCTCGCCATTGACAATTTATATTTTTTTCGTTTTTGAGTTCGAAGTGTTTTTCTTATGTTGCACTATAGTCTTTCAGCATAATTTTCAGCACCCTTTCGATCTTATCATCAAAAAATTTACGACCGCAGCACCTAACAATTAATTAAATTTTTGCTCTTCCAAAAACCAACGATTTCACCACGATATCATGGATATGGATATGGGATATATGATTAAGATCAAAGCATTACACTTATAACTGCAGTTATACATGATACAAGAGACTTGGCATATCAACTTTACTTATTTATCAAATAATAGCAAGACTTTTATTTTAGTTTAAATTTCGCGGGAGAACCCATTTGTTCAAATTTTTTTCTAGGTTCTTATGAATATCAGTTCCAAATTTCACATCAAAAGTACGTAAAGTGCATTCGAAGATTTTTACAATGAGTGAAATTATTCAGCAAAGCAGTTCCGTTAAATTTTCTATACGGAATCAAACTTTTGGTGTTGAGATGTTCAGAATATTGAAGAAGGCTTTCGATGATAATTGCTTGTCGAGGGTCGAGGACGTTTTGATGACGAACCACGCCGAGGACGGCCATCAACATCAACTGATGGTCATCACTTCAATAAAATAAAAGAATCGGTGTGAGAATCGACGATTAACAGTCAGAGATCTTACTGGCATCGTTGCAATATCGGAAGTATCATTGAAAACCAGTGAAAGCTTGATTGGTCTCGTCTGTGAAATAATGCTTTCCCACTTCCAGAATGCTAAAACTCTTATTATTACTGGCGATGAGTCTTGGATTATGCTTACAAAGAGATATGACGATCTAAAAATCGTAGCAAATGTGAAATGAAGACGAAAAAACCACGCCAAAGCAGGGCACAAATCAAGGCTTTTTTGATAGCTGTCTTCCATTATCATATTTTGGTGCTCTCGGAATTTCTTGCGATCGGCCAAGCTATTTGAGTGCTATGCGTCACTTGCATGAAGCTATGAGCTGAAAGAGACCAGATTCATAGGCCGACATCCCGTGATTGATCTTAGCCAGAGTTAATATAAGGGCTTGAAGAAATAATAGAACACAGTGATCAAATACTTTTTCTGGATGTAAAGCGTCTACCAACACGAACGACATTATGTTGAAATGAAATAAAACACTAAAACTTGGTCAAAATGAGTTCCTTTTTTATATTTTTGACATGCAAATTATTTAATGCCATTTATAATTCAATAAAATGTCGGCCAAAGGTCCAACAGGGTGCATTGAAAATAAATATATCTAGACCTCTGATTTAACATACCACCAGAGTAAATAATTTAGAGGCGTTAAATTGTATGATCTAGGCAGCCATTTCGAAATTAATGGCTCGCCAAACCTTGCACGCAATGTATCCATGTTTAGAAGTGAAACACTAAAGGCAATGTGGATTTGAGCCACCCCAATAGCGACAACTTTTCTTTTTGCTTTGTATGATGCCATTTAGCCTGAGACCTCATCTAAAGAAATGCTTTTCGGAATTCCGAAATTTCTGAAAAACGTGAACCTGTGTAATAATCTTGGACAATTTCGAATCTTACTGAATACATTGACTAAATTTGACACAAATCCGTAATCAAAATTGGCCGCCTAAATCTTAATTAGTGCTTAGTTACGGTACTTTATATGTTTTCGGTTAATGTCGTTTTGTAGGTTATATGTAAAGTAAAGAAAAGCTGTCGAAGTTTAATAAGGCAGTGGTTATTGAATGATAAATGTCACCTCCAATCTGAGTCAAGTGGTTATAATGTGAAGCACTATTAACTTGATTTGGTTCTATATCGATTGGTTGCACTATATCTGGAGTATAATAGTTAGAATCTTATGAGATATTCACCATTTTTAATATTAGTGAGGTAAAATGGTTTAAAGAAGTTCCAACCGGACAACATTTTATTGCATTATTTTATTATAAAGTAAATGATATTTTACTATTACTAAATAGAGCTAATAAAATGCCAATGTAATAATAACTTTAGTTAATGTGGTGCTCAGCTCACACATTATGTCTATAAAAAATTTATTCACCATAGTGAATTTCATACATCTTTATTATTGCAAAAAACATTTTATACCCTTTTAATCTCATTTCTTATCACAACCTTCCATTCTAATCAGCTCAAATTTAAATACTTACAGAAGCAGGGAAGGAAATCCGACAAGCATTCACACACATTCCACCATAACCAAATCTAACCCAAACGATATTTTGTATTAAACCTCATTAGTCGATTGTGGCATGAATAATATTGCATTTATGCACGCATCAACTACGCCACGTTCACTTATCCCCGCCTGCCAATAGAAAAAGGCGAAAAAAGTATTAAAACACAAATAAACGGCCTTCTATTTGCAATGCTTATTTAATTTGTAGCTTGCCACCAACTCGCTGCGCCGCGCTGTGGGCGGTGAGCAAGTGAGCAACGCCGGTAAACATATTCACATATTATGTAGGTATATATGTATAAGGCGCGTGTAGTCCTTATAAATTACTTTCTACGGCGCGTGTCCATAAAGTGTCTGCCTCTTCGAATGACGCCTCCCGTTTTATGCAGCCGTTCGTTGAACGCAATTCTATTAACGTTTTATTTATTTGTCAAACAGCACGTTTTGTTACACACAACAACAACAGCAACGCCAACGAAAAGCCTTCTCTAATGTCTGCTTGCTTGCGGTGTGCCCTGGTATAAGCGGTTTGTTTGTGTTGGAAAGTAAATATATTTGTATTGATGAATCATATCTATGAATATCTGTGTTGTGTACTTAAGTGCTTCTGTGCGTATAATATATCTAGATATGCATGCATACAATGTCTGGCATCAATTCTTTTTTTTTTTTTTTTTTTTTTTTTTTTTTTTTTTTTTTTTTTTTTTTTTTTTTTTTTTTTTTTTTTTTTTTTTTTTTTTTTTTTTTTTTGGTGAGCCAGTTTTGTCATTATCCCACACTAAATTTGTTGCGAGTGTCAAGGACCTTCAAAATACCTTCAAAATGCAAAGCCTTAGCAAAAATTCTCAGAAAGTATTGCATTAAATAACAACGACAAAATGCAGGTATCAATGTCAAATTGCTTGAATGGGCTTTGCTCTTTTACTTTTCTATGCAATTATTGAGTTTCACTGATTAATACAAAAAGTAGTCATGTTTCGTTACAATTATTGTCAGCTGTCTGAAACTGTACTAATAATTTAATACGAAGCATGTTTTGTGCTCATTAGAACAGAACATTAAATAGTTTAATTTTTTTTTTTATTTCTTAGCAAATCTTTTCTTAGAACCCAGTACTTTTAAAACCTTTTAGAGGAGCGATGATTGATCAAAATTATCCAGTATTATTGATCCTCTGGTACGATTTTATAGTGAAGTTTTGTGGTCGAAATGAAATACTCGTAAAATCATCTAAATTCAAAACATGTTATCTTTTATTATGCGTCATAGGCCATTAAATCTGAAAATTATATTATTTTAAGGTCTGCAGATCATTCAAAATATTTATCAGAATTGTTACCAAATAAAGCGTGTTTCATACCCAAAATATTCACCAAAATCATTCGACAGGACTCGCGAGAGATATCAAGTTCTTAAGTCATCTCTCTAATATGACTCAGGAGAGATGTCGAGTTCTTATCTCATCTTTCTAATACTTGGCTGACAATTTTCAAGCACCATACCCTTCACTTTTTTAATATTACATCAGTTGAAGAGGTCGAAGGTCGCAGAAAGAGGCATACCTTCAAAGACCTCTCGGCCATCTGTGATGGCTTTTTACCAGTCGTCGGCTTGTGTTGAGCTAACACAGAATCACCGTAAGCCTTTTGTAACATTTTCAATTATTCTGCATACGAAATTGGGTTAGAAATACCAAATTTGAGACAAATTCTCTGTCGATATTCTTATCCATTGTAAAAATCGTAACGCACTACGTGTGCCGACTTCAGCAGCTGCTGTAAACAAATTGGTTAACAAATCGCACTCATGTTAAGCATAGCAATTAAGGACAGTTCTACAAACTTAGCGAAATTAATTTTCTTGAAATATTA